AGAGAGAGAGAGAGAGAGAGAGAGAGAGAGAGAGAGAGAGAGAGAGAGAGAGAGATTGGACCCCAAACCTCATAAAATGCAAGGAAGGAAATATAAAAACAGAAACACCAGAGAAGAGCAAGTCAAAGGAAAAAAGGAAAACTTCTGTGTTTTTGAATGAGTGATTTCTTTCCAAGATCTGCAGTCTGGGGCTCTAACCAGTCATGGTCTTCTCCACCTAGGTTTAGGGCACTGGGCACCAGAGGCCCTTCTGTCCATTCACCCCAGACTGTGATGACTGTCCAAGGCAGTCATGCATGGCTTGCTCCCAACAGAGGGCAGGAAACGGGATCAGCCCTCCCGGCTCCGCTGGATAAAGACCCCGGGACAGGGCTTCCGGTGGATTGTTGGACGTGGTGTCAGCAGTCGGGGGATCTGGTTGTTTCTTCCTCTCCACAGGGGTGTTCCTTATCCCCAGTTGGGGCAGTGGCTCAGTCCTCACCTCTGCTGCCCTTGCTAAGGGGAAGGAAAATGGGAGCCAGCTTGGAGCTGCCAGATGGTCCCACCTGGTGTGTGGGGGCACACCTGGCACAGGCCTGGTTGCCTGCGCCAGTGGGAGGCAGGCACCATCTTCTTCTGTTTCTAGGACCTTTATTTATAATTTTAATTTTTTTTGGCAGAACTGGGGATTGAACTCAAGCCCTTGTGCTTGCCAGGGGGGGCTTATACCACTGAGCCATCTCCACAGCCCCATCTAGGACCTTTAAATGCATCATCATGTTGTTTGTTTGGGGTTAGACTTTTTTTTTTTTTTTTTTTAATGTATCTGGCACAGGATCTCACTAGGCAGCTCGGACTCACAGTGATCCTTCTGTTTTCAGCCTCCTCAGTGCTGGGATTACAGGCGTGTGCAAACACACCCGGTCTCCGAGGCTGGCTCAGTAGGGCCGTGGGTGGGGCCGTATGGCACATAGAGTTGAGGATCACACCCTGGTCCCTGAGCTTGCCTAAGCAGGTGCTTAGTCTGCTGAGCTATCTCGCCGGCTCTGGGGTTATGTTATTCTGTTGATGTTTTTGTTCATAGCTATAGACTTGGCTCTCAAAACTGCCTCCACTGTGTCCCATAAGCTTTGGTGTTTCACACTTCTATTTTCAATTGATCCTAGAAACTTAATTTCTTCCCTGAT